TGAATTGAACTCAGGACGAATATAAGCGGCGCGTTCGAATCGGGATATTGCACTGTCCTTCAAACTATCAGGGACTTCTGCTAGTACGGTGGAACCAAACAACGCAGTCTGCAACTGGAAACTTCGACCTAATGCGATCTCCTTAGGAGATTGTTTGGTGTCAAGATATGTTGAATGGATGTTCGAACAGTGACATATGTATGCAAGTGCTGCGTTCAGGCCTTTTCGGTCGGCCAAATTCAAATCCATGTTGTGATTTCTCAAATCCTGACGAAGTGCTGCAATGGCATCTTTTAGAATCCGGATGGCACCTTCTGCGTGTCCATTCGTTTGATGTGCTTGAGGAGCAGACTTGATGACGGCATAATCCCGGCCAATGTCCAGGCCAAGGAAAAGTTGGCTGACACTTTCCTCAGCATCGGTCAAGATCTCAAGTGGAAACCGGGACTCTCCAAGCAGATTGAACTCATGCAACCAATTTCGAAGCCAAGCCTGATTGGTCTTGATGACCGGTGATATCGGCACGAAACCTTTCATCCCAGTTGACGTGTCAACTAGGATGAGGAATTTGTACGTCTCAACAAAGAAGAAATCGGCACTAATCTCAGAATAAATCTTATCCTTATTACGTCTTCGACGTTGAGTCACGGACTTGGCTGAAGAACAAGACAGGCAGTCTGCATGGAACGGAAAATGACCTTGGTTGCGATGCTCTTCAAGGGATTGTCGGACACGTTGGTTCTTCTTCAAGACAACCGGATGTTTGGATGAGGATTGTTCTTCAGATGGTTCAACAGATGGATGGGCGACCGAATCAGCTCCCTGAGACTTCAACACGGATGTGTCTTCCGGTGGACCTGAACGTAGACCTGAGGATGAAATCGAATCGAACGGCTCGAGTTCAACATGTTTGCCAAGACTAGGATTGGGCTCATCTACAACAATTTGATCGTGATCAACATCAATCCTTCTAGCTCCGGAGGCCGACGACGAAGCAGGGGCACCTGACTGCTCGGCAGTCTCTGGGACTCCGACGGCGGTTCGGCTATCGGGAGATGGATCGGCTTGAGGCTGAGAACGATAAATGGTTTCGGGCGACAACTCAATCGGAAGCTCATCTTCCGCTTTACGCTTCATTGCAATCAAGAAAGGTTCACTGGAGCCTTCAAACATCTGTGTATGTGTTCCACCAAAATGAACATGCTTACTAGATGATGCACGCTCTTTGGATCTCGACTCCCTAGATTGTGTCTTAGACCAGCAGGGAGGAGCCGCAACATCAGACTTACACTTGACTATACCACACTTTTCGTGGTACATCCATGGAACATTATGCCACGTGGTAATCTGGAGGCGGAATCCATCTTTGGTGATCTCCATGAATGCTCCATTGTTTCCTAAACACCAACCTTTCTTCAACAATGTTCCAACTGAGACAACATTGTTTGGTACATCGGCCACAAAAGCTGCAATCAAACATTCCTTGAGTTCTTCTTTCCGCGGATTCTCTATGGAGTTCATTCTGAAGAACGCTCGAATGCAAACTACGGAGGTTGGCACAATCACTTCACCTGAGGCCGAGGAGAACCCTTCAGCTCTGTTGGCGGGGAGCGAAACTTGATGAAGTACTTCATACTCGCTAAGAAACCGACTGCTCACAACAGAGGCACTTGCTCCTGAATCTATTAACCACCAACACACATCCGAATGATCTTGATGGGAACAATTCGATGTGGGCATCAAGAAAGGCATGAACCAGACTGGATTTGACTCATAAAAAGTTTCTTGAAACAAATCACCGCATGAAGAAAGGGCACTGTCAAAGCTCAAGAGTGAATCAACCACAAAATCATCTACTGACATCTGTGGATTTTCGTTTCGTTTGCAGTCCTCAAAATTCAAAGTACGCTCGAATTCGGATAGGGTCTGCAAACATGGAGCTGACAGCGAGGCATGAGAGGCAACGAAAGGACTCATGGGAGCCGTCGGATCAGCACGAGCTGCACGGCTCGCTGGGGATTCCTCAATCTCTGGCTGCTCTGACGAAATGAATTCGTGGACTTTCCCCTTTCCTCTCTTGCCTTTACCTTTTCCATCTTTTCCTTTTCCATCTTTTCCTTTTCCATCTCTTCCCTTTCCATCGGCATTTGGGGGGCCTCTTGATGCATGATCACCTTGATTCTTGGGTCTCTCAACAGGGCTCAGGGGATTACCGTCCTGGTCGGTACGGGCACGGCAATTGCTCTGGAAGTGGCCTTTACGGTTGCACCTGAAGCAAACTGCATTCTTTTCTTTGTCGCTCCTATCATCAGCCTTTCTGTTCATGCTGCTGGAGGTGGATCGTTTTCCTTTCTTTCCTTTTCCTTTCCCATCTTTCCCACCTTTATCTCGGGGCTTGTTGGGGTCAAAAATGCTCTGCATGTATTGGGAGGCAGTGTTCCCCCCAATTTCGGTCCAAAGCCTTTGGGATGTCTCGTACTTTAAAGCAGCTGACTTAATGTCTTTGTAGTCATCAGTGTTACTATGCATGGTGGTGTATTCACGAATCTGTGTCGGCAACGAACGAAGGAAGAGCATTGCAAGATCGGTGGATTGAAGCTCCAGCCCAAGTCGGGAGATCGAGGCTGGCAACATGTTCAAAAGCTTCTCGTACCTACTCTCTTCAAACTCCATTTGTTTGATCAGCTCTGTCACGCTGTTCGATTTGAAAGTGCGTCCCATCAAAGTCGTTCTGAAATGCATCACCTCCTGTCTGGATCGAACGAGGTATTCGTGAGCGATCAAACGAAGGGCTTCATAGCCGTTGCGTTCACCAAGGTGCGACGATTCACTGTAGGCCAATAGGATGACCTTTGCCTTGGGAGTGTCACGAAAGATTTGTCGCAACATGTTCAACAGTCGAACTCCACGTGCCTTTTGCTCTTCAGTGAGCACAGCTCGAGGAATCAATGGGTTGATCTGCAGTCATGGCGAACCGTACCTCTGTAGCGAATGAAGCAGAGACAAGACCAAGCCAGGCCGTGAAGTTCTCCATGAATGTCTCAAATCCAACAATCTCTTCAGTACGTGTACGCCAGTTCCTAGCGTCAACGGAGGGCATCTCTGGAAGCCATTTGTCAGACCGCTGAAATGCATCCAATGTTGGCTTCTCAACCGTACCTCCAGTACCTGCAGTGGTCATCGATGAAGATGCTCCAAGTGGGATCTCAATCCCTCCAGGCAACACAATCTTGGGAACTCCTGCAGGAATACCTGAAGAACCTTCTCCGGAGGCTGGAACATTCGACTGTGTGGCTGCTTGATTCGTGGTCGTTTGACCCATTGTTCCAAAAGGCGATAATCCATTGGCCTGACCTCCGGTTATTGTGGCAGCACCAAATGGACTTGAACGTGGATTCTGATGAACTCTCGGTGAAATCGGAAGAGGGGTACGTTGTGCTTGAAGATTCTGGATCAAAGTCTGTTGAACTTGAAATGTCTCCTGGGTTCGTTTGAATGCCGATTGCTGCTGCTCCACAACACTTGCAAGAGATTGCAATTGAGTTCCCATCATCTGTAAACTTTTGGTGAGCTCTGCAATCTGATTTTCCAATTTAAAATTGGGGACAGGAACAGGTTGTGGTCGACCCGAACTCTCGTTTGAACCGGCAGGCAACGACTGACCTCTCGATGGGCCTTGACTGCGACCGCGAGGTGAGCGATCGCGATCCAACGTCTCCTCAGCAGACCTTTTAGCCATGGCTCGCAAGTTGGATGGGTGAGGTTGTGTCCTAGTGACCTGGATCATTGCATGTTGTCCTATGTATGTGTATAGGAGCACCATAAGCTCCGCTACCATGCGAAGCACATGACCCCAAAATAAAAGCATGACCAGGGATCCATGTACCTCAAATGAACACCAGAACAAAACATGACCCTCCACCCAATCCCAACTGCACTCGATCGGACTTTTGTCGCTCAACTTCATGATCTAGTCCGTGCATGGCTTGAGCCATGATTGCATCGAAAGCTCGAAAGGATGCGGCGGCATCCGGCAACGAATGGCATATCGGCTGGAACGAAATGCATGTACCTGACCGGAAGGGAAGTTGTGACTGAATTCATGGATGGTTCTCTGAACGCACCTGGTGGGTTATCTCGACATGGAAACTCATCACCTAGGGTTTGAACTTTTCGCATGGAGGGGTTTTGGGGGCGGGTCCCTGCCTTTGTCTTCCCAATTTCAGGGAGAGGTTTTCAGAATCTAAGCAACCTGAGCAACCTGCTAGTGGCCATGACGCAACAAAAACGTTTAACCTGAACAACCTGCTAGTGGCCATGACGCAACGAAAACGTTCTGGAATGCAAACCTTTGTTGCCGCGTTGTTCTTGTTTCTTTGTTTTTTGATGATTTTGTAGTTTCCGATTTGATGAATTGTCAAGGACAGCCTGCAAAAAACGCCCGCAGCAGTGTGCCCTACTGGTAGCTGGACCGACTGGACGTTTTGGGCAACAGATGTGTTTCTTGGACGTTTTGGGAAGCGGGGCCCGCTGGCATCACCCCCTGGCGGGATCCTCAATATGTTAAATGACGCACCCCCTTGAAGAAGATAATGTTCTATCAGGGGCGGGGTGATTAGCACCTGTGATTCCGTGTGAGTGCTCAGTTGTTTGAGATTCACACCTACAACATGTCGGCCATCATCTCACTACGGTAAACTAAAGGCTGAATATGCAAAGAGGTTGTAATTGTCAGATGCGTTTAAATTTTGGATCTATACAGCAGATTGACTCGCAGAACAATATTTATAGTGTTTGATCAGATCACAACATATAAAACAGTTTTTTGGTAGAAAGTAAATGCAGTTCAATGATTTGTAGCAGCTGTAAACGAAGTATAACAGGGTATAACAGAATAGTTTCAGAGCGAACTTCGGTTCACCAAGATGGCCTGGTATTAAACCATGAACCAAAAAGACACCGCTCCACCGTCACACCAAAGTGATGCATGCCGGCTGGAGGCGAAAGGCTGCCCGGAAATTGGCGCAAGAAGAAGCTGATCTGAAAGAACAAGAGATGGATGAACCGATCATGAAGGTGTGCTTGTCACGGATGACAACCGATGGTCGCGACGGACAATCCATGCTCTTTTCACAGCTTTGGATTCAACGACGAATGCCTGACATGAAGCCGCTTTTCCGAAGCACTCACATGAAGCTGGCATGTGGTAGCCTCGGGCATGCTCAAGCCTTTGTGTCGGTGACATTGTGGACACGGTAACATTTAGCTTTCCGAGAACCCTTTTCCTCGTGTTTCAGGAAAGAAACACTGTCAAAGAGCCTGGCAGAACTGAGGCATGGCTTCAAAGTCTGAGATGTGTGACAAATGTGCCCGTTTTACTCGTTTTGACTGCATACGGCATACGACTTCCCTGGAGTGTATCCTGATGTCATCTACGGATTTAGACTTGCTTTTCTAGGTGGTATTGTCTCCTAAAGGTGGCCGTTAGTTACAATTTGGAAGTTAGTTTGATGCTAGACCTGCCGAACCATCAGGAGAAACCTCCCAGATCGCCGCGTGTGAAAGAAGCCGCGGAGGTGGATGTTCTGGGCCAGAGAGCACTACCAAGCAAGGCCTGAGACTCGTTGGAATGACTCGTTGGAATGTCCAAAAAGGGTTCGGAGGTGACAGGAAGGCGAGACTCTGTCTATCTCTTGGGATCTAACTTTTGATACTGTCCACATGAGAGATTCTGTTTATAAAAGTCTGATTCTTTATGTAACCTCACCACACGGCTGTATGGCTGTGATTGCAAAACACAGACATCGTGATCTCTCGTGGGCATCAGGGGTCAGAAAACACAGAAAGAGCCCAGCATAAAGAACAAATATGAAGGCACGAACCCCTAACTTGCCCCAACGCGATTTTCCATCGTTGCACATCTCTTCCGTATCGTTCTGGTGGTTGCTGCGGTTTCAAGGATCAGCCAGCCGAAGCGGACGTCGACCTCAGAAGACGTCGCACTGAAAGGGAAGCTGCAAATGGTGGAGCCCTCGAAGTCAAGGCGCAACCGCCTTCCCGATCGGGTTGAACTTGCTGAACCGATGAGTCTTATGAGTGCGAATCAAAGTCCAGGTGCTAGGCCACGAATGGGAACTGTCATGATTTACTGTCGTTGTCTATGCTTATTTGATCTTATTTGTGTTGGCGTGCATGTATTGCTTTTAACCATGCAAGTCCATAATATTTTGCTTCAGTCAAAGTTCACTCTTTTCGCCTAGTTCCCAACCAAGCCCGGCTTTTGGTTTCACCTCTTGATGATATGTGGGCCTGTCTCACCCCAAATCAGGAAAACCGTGACCGTGAAACTTTCCACAAAAGGGATGTTTGATGATATTTTGGAATGTCATTAAACACCTGTTAGTCATGCATGGGCTTTCTTGTCTGATTGGAGACAAACAGGAGCAGCGAGCTCCGGAAAACGCACCATCTCCGGGAGCGAGAAGAGAGGACTCAAGATGGAGGGATACAGAGAACGGGTGAAGGAGGGACAGCTCTGACCCAGCATGTCAGGCATGTCAGGCTATTTGAAAGTCTTGAGTGACATTTGAAGCAACTATGTCACTATATATGTGGAATGGTTCGGAATGGGGGATTTGGCATTCTCATGGTGAGTTTGGATTCATTGGTATAGAACACTTGACACTGAAGTACAATCAATGATGTGTTAGCTCCATTTTACATACCTCCTGCATTCTCTCGTTGTAGGAGATGCAGCAAGTACCGCTCGGTGCAACAGAGGCTTGAATCAGATGAATCAGTGCACCGTCCAAAACATATACTGTAGTTTTGTGATGTTTTGTACGGGACTATGAAAGACAGCGCATTCCCTATCCAGCCTAGCTGCACCCTAAAGCTTTCCACAGTCAAGCCTCAGACTTGTGGAGACAACACAAGTGCCAAGCTTGAACCTCATGGGCAGGCCAGCCAACCAATATCCAGTGCGCAGGTCCGGAGTTTTGCTGTTTACGAATGGATCATGAAGTCTACAAGCCGAAGCAAATGGATCACTTTTTCATTTGCATTTAGCATGCGGTGAGGCTTTTCTTGTGCTAGTTTGCTTTACACATTCTGAAATAATACAAGCATGATATGAGGGAAGTTTGCATCTAGCAGGACAATTTCAATCACTGATGCTCCCTGTGTTGCGCCAGTCCTCAGGCATCACCAGTGCGGCGCCAGTCAGTTATACAAGAGGCCCAGTCGAAGAGCATCATTATATTTACATTGAACATCATTGAAAGCACGGAAGTCATGCCAGAAAGAAGTGGCTTCAGTATTGTTAGAGGAATATGCTCGTACTCAAATAATTCCGCCTACATCCCCACACTGGATGCTACTAGTGATTCTGAGCTGCTGCTTTGAGTTAGCAGATTTGGCTTTCAGACCGCAATTTGCACAGGAAGCTCTTTTGTCGATTCAACACTTCTAGTGTGTTGCTTTCTACAGATTGCACAGGTTAGTTAGTACTAGTAGCTGAAAATAAAGCCGCTTGACGTTCAAACCGTATTTCTGCCATTTTCCTAAGCTTGAGCTCATTTTCTCGGCAGGAAATACTCGCAAATGCTCGAGAAAAATTAAAGAATGCAACTGACATGAAGCCAGCGCAGGGAGCTTAGAGTTGGATGAGTTCCCTTCTCACAGATCAATACCCGATGACCCACAGCTGTAGCTGAGGCTCTCCAAAGCTGTAGCCAAAGTGCTGAACAAAGGCTGGGAAGAGGAACAAAGAAAGCATAGTTTAGTTCACACATTTATTTAATTCCATCCTTTGTCCTTGTACCTCTTTTTAAAACCCTTTTTAACGCGTAAACATCCACACCTTTTAAGTACAAGACTTCTTGCACTCCCGACCTTCCTTCTTGTGTCCGACGGCGTGTCTCATCCTGTCGTTCAGAACGCTCGTCCACCGCGCCTTCGCCTCCCGTAGGCTGGGAGGGCGTGTCGTGGCCCTCGAACTTCAGCGCCGTTCACGTGGCCGCAAAGCTCGGCGATGCCACGTGGCCAGACCGTTCAGCTCGGAGGGAGGAGCTGGAGGCTGGGCCGAGGCGCTCCTTGAGCGAAAGGCTCCGAGAGGAGGAGACCGCCAGCGCTTTTGGATCACACCGGGAGACCGTTTGACCACCCAAAAGAAGTGAACTGAATAGACTACTAGTGGTCGGTCAACCCACCAGGGTTTGGGGCTGATTTTGACCCACAGCCATTTGAGGATGCCCAAACGAGTCGTTTGTTTGCTCTGCTTTTTAAAGGGAAGTTCTCAGCATTATCTGTGAGAACAGCCGAGGTGAAGGCCATTGAAATTCTGGCAGAGGTTGGCGCGGACCTCGCGCCAAGCTGGCGATTCTTTGAGAAACGGATAGAACATGATATTGTTTGATAATTTTTTGTCAATCGGGTGGCCCCCAAAAATATGCTTGGATGTTCTACCTGGAAGTGGTGCACTTCTTGTGTTGGTATGTGGGGTATAGAATCGGACATGTTTCAATGACAGGTTGCAAGATGACTGGAAGTTGACACCAATTGACTATGTGAAGCTCTCAGTTGATTTCAGACGTTTTCGACTGGTGAACGCCGGTGGGTATTGTCGCCGTTTGGGAAAGTTGAGCCTTACTCGAACAATGTGGCTATTAGCGGCTCCTGGTTCTGTGATCGGCTGTTGTTTTGCCAACTTAGGACTTATAGTTAAGTGTGTTAAAGCAGAGTTTGGGCTAAAGGCTAAAGTAGATCGATTTGCGGTCGCATGCAGAGAATCTGTCACAGAGACTCGCCTCACTTGCTCTTCAGCACAGAAGATTGACAATTGATTGGCAAGGTTTAGGCGTGTTTAGCCCTTCACAGTCCTTTCCGAGGCCGCTCAGAACGGGAACCAGGAGGCCGTCGCGGCGTTACAACACCATTTGGCGAAGGCGGACTCTGGGAAGATCGAGGGAAGCTCATGTGCTCATGTTTGAGCAAGTGGTACATTCTGAAGAACCTGAAGGCCAATCGGCGGGGGTGAAAGAAAAGGCGCATAGTCATCTACGAAGGTGGGAAGGTGGCGCCTTCAATGTAAGGTGGTAAGGTCTTTGGGCGCTTCACCCTCATGCGCTCTAGTTTGCTCATGAAAAGAATCTGCCTGAGAGCACTGACAGCACCAGAACAATGATATGTCCTTGCCACTGAGAGAAACTTCATTCTCAGGCTGCTATAGAGGCACAACATGTGGCATTCAATAGGTGGTGGTTGACGAGTGCGCCCCGCTAATCTTTCCCCTCTTGTCAGTTTGCAGACAGGCAGAAGAACGAGCCGCGGAACAAGCAGCACAGGCAGCACAGCAGGCAGAACAGGCCCAGAGGGCACCAATGCCGGGAGCTTGGATGGTTGGTTACATGCATTTAGAAACACAACACGCTTTTGTTTGGACGCCAGTTGAATTTCAATTTGCAGTTGGCTGCGTGTAATTTGTTGCTACTGGCTTGTATGCGTGCCTTCTGACTAGCTGAGGCAGACGGCAGCAAGGCCAAATGCGCTGCAAGTGGCTTTTATTGCATTCATGGTAGAACCCTGAAGGAAGGTCTGTGGTCATGGATGGTGGTTCATGGGTCAGGCTACTCTATGCCAGTGCGAATATCGTTGACCGTTGAATTGGCTCTGAATGTCCTAGGGTTGAAGTGATCAGAACCGATTCTGGTGACCCTGTGACCAATCTCTCAAAGCTCAGAATGTTCTGAATCCGCTGGATCTCGCATTCCTCAAAACCCATCGAACCTCTAGTGGTGACCTGGTGTGGATGCTGTGCGATCGACTGAGGTCCAATGGGCAGATGGAGCTTCAGCCGAGCGTCCCACATCGCCGTCTCATGCATCGCCTGCGTCTCCCGCATCGCCTGCGTCTCACGCATCGCCATCTGCAGCGCCAGCTGCTTCGGGCTCTGAACGGTCTCCTCATCCGACTGGGCTTGCTGTGAGTGGACTGGGAGCAGCAAGAGCTTCTGTGTCACCGGCCTCACCCACCAGCAGGTCGCCAAGACCCAAGGTTGACCCTGGACCTGTACCAGAAGGAATCAGGCGGGATTTGTGTTAATTTGATGCGTTTGTTTGAAGCAAACAACACCATAAGTTATTCATGGTTAAGTTCTTGGAGCCAGGATCGTGAGCGATTGCTGCTAGAATGGCGTTTGCTGTGCGTTGTATTCAAAACCAACTACCCGAAGCTGGCATCACAGCCATGTCAAGATATTATCAGTTTCCATCCATGGTCCCGAATGACGAAAGACACACGTGTAAACAGCAGACCTTTGATGCCCAGGCCAGAGTTGCAAAAGGCTTGTCAGGTGGTGAAGAAGAAAGGCTGGAAGAAAGTCAGGATCACCCAGTCGCAAGAAAGTCGGGGTTTGATGAAGATCAAAAAGCGCCATGCCCATCCCAGCCCCCATTGCTACAGGATATGAGGGAACAATAGGGAATAGCTGGAACTATCCTTGTTGCTCATCCTCTTTGTTTCAAGTCCAATGTTCTTCGGCATGAGTCCAAGAGTCCGTAGAAAGACTCGTCTCGAGGTGACTTGGCCCCATGGCTTCAGTGCTTTACACTTGGCAGCACAGCTGGGTGAGGACGGGGGATCTCCAGTGTTTGATCATGTTCCGGTAGATATAACTACCACTGTATATGCTGCATTTGAACATCCTTCAAAGGAAGAAAGAAAACCACAGATTGCCCCATGAGCTCCCATAAATGCCCCATGAGCTCCCTCGTGGGGTGCATGCCGTTTCTCTGCTTGTGTGGTGTGATGCTTAGAAGCACCCATGTCGCTACTTCTCACGTCGCATGGACAGAGTCGGTCTTTTGATTTACAGGGACATGGGCAGATCAGGGAATCTTGCAAAACACAAAATGAATAGATGAGTGGAGTATCAGTGGATTCCACCCTCAGCCTGTCCCACCGTAAACCTTTCAAAGTACAATAGAGTATAATTAATGTGAACGTTCCGCAGGGTATCCACCTGGCAGGAGAAAGCTGTAAGCTTTCTCCTGAGCGCGAGCCGGGCTTCTCAGTCTGATGACAGTCCTGGTGTCAAAGGCGTTGAAGAGGGATTCACCAGGGATTTCACTCTGCTTTGTCCTAATACGTTTTCATCCGTTCTCGTCTTGCTATGCAGCAGTCGCTTGCTATGCAAATATCAGGGACCAGATTGGACAAGTGCAGGGATATATGGCTGGGAACTGGTTTCTGGTCGCATTTGCTCGGCAAGTAAGACGACTCCAAGTTCCAAGACGATTCTGCTGTGAGGTGCTGTGCCAGATCTCACTGTGCAGGACAGGCACTGGCCACAAGCCAAGCTCAACATTGGTTCGGCCCATCTATTTCCATAACAATAGAGTCAATTGCAAATCTAGATAGGTCAGCCCAAGAACGGTTTAAGTTTTTGTGTACTGTAATGGCTCTTGCTTAAGCGCGATGAAACTGTTCACCCAAAGGAAATCCTGGTCAAACAGGTATAATTAGCCCAGAAATTGCACTTAGTTGTAAGACAAGATGGGGTCTGCCGGAGATGAAGCATGGTTTGCTATTCTAATGAATAGAATTAGCAACTCATGAGCTTCGCACAAGCAGGTTCACTTCAACATATGGCTTACTTTCGGATCCAGTCTTTTCAGATTCAGGTCGGGCTCTTTGGCTCTACAGTAAGTGTTTCGAGTTGGAAAGGGATGTGGGCTATAGAGCCCACATCTTTGACATCACAGACGTGTACATCCCAATGACAACAGCTTCCGGCCCTTTCGATTTATCATAATTTCCTGGTTTTGAGCCACAGAGACAGTTCACGACCTTTGCAGGACTAGAAAAGGCATAGCTTTGATATGTCTTGGCAAGTCAATCTCGCCAAGGGTTTAGTTTGGCTGAGGATACTTTTTGAACCATAGCCATAGCTATCGTTTTGCACCTTGATGCCAGGATTCCGACGGCAAGACAGCATTGGACTACGCCAAGGGAAAAGGAGCGCTTTGCAGAGAGACAATATGTGGCTTGGATCCGTTGTGCCTAATTTCAGGCAGATAATACGAACACTTTGGTTTTGGGTGTAGATGTGGTGGTTTCGCTTGCAAAAAGTGATTTCAAGCTGACGAATTGACGTGTTGTTTTTGAGGCTAAGAAATGGAAGACATTCGAAGACATGCAAGGTGAGATTGTTGATCAGCCATGCCACTGGTACAGGTGACTCGACAACAGAAGAGTCTTGGATTTCATCCAGTTCTCCTCAAAACAGCCGACTTTCGGGGGCTTCATTCTGCCTCATCTACAGGACATGAACATCTCGTGGAGCTCCTGACCCCACAAGTGGAGCAGATCGATGGTGCGGAGCTTGAAACGTTGTCCATCAAGCAGATGCCTCAAAAGTAAGCAGCAGTGCCGCAGTGCAGTGTCGCGGCGGGGTACAAGATACGTTCAGTGTTGTGGATTCATCTTCCGAACGCCCTTCCACAGCCACTGAGACGATTTGCCTGCAGTAGCACAGGACTGCCTGGAACTCCTTTATTTGTCCATGAGCTGTCACGTCTAGACAGCTGTTTTCAGACAGAAACTGTATATGATGGATGGTTTAAAACTTCAAAATTCATCAAAATTCAACATCAACGTTCTGACTTGGGCAGCACATTTTTTTTGTTGAATGATTCAGTTTCGTTTTCGGCCATGCGGTTTGTTCAAGGAGTCACCCTCCGGCGAAGGCAGGTCGTGCTTTTCCTGATCACTCATTGGCCCTGAAAAGAGACGGACGCATCGGTTCCGATGACAACCTGTTCAGTTCGCTGCCTCAACCGCGTGTTGGCACAGTGCATTTCTAGCTTCCAGCGAACGATTGTGTTGTTTGAGTGGGCAGGATCTTGCCCTCATGCTTCAGATCCTTCAAGTAATAATTAGTAATTATAGTACATATATCATATATATCTCGGAATCATGCCGCAGAATGTCTCAACTACAGTATGCAAATGTATAAATACTATGTTAAAATGTCTCGACACAAAGAACCCCCCATAGACAAGGACTAACAGTAGTAACACGAAGCCTTCTAGTATGTCTTTGAAGCTGCTAGGTGGAGGCCATCGCTATTGGGGTGGAGGGCCATTACTACTAGCAACAAGAAGCTACTAGTAACAAAGGGTATCGCTACTAGGAGCAAGGACGCTACTAGTGGCTCCGGGCATCGCTATAGTAACAAGAAGCTGTCTAGTTTCAGTTTCTCAAAACCAGGCGTGGGTGGCAGCATCGCTTTACCGGGCACACGAGCTGGCCACCACGGCACCGTCCGCCGAGCCGTGGGGGGCACCACGGGGGGCTCCGGAGCTGATGGAGTCGCGACTCTTCCGCAGCTTGGGATCAGAGTCTGAGGAGTTTTGAGAATAGGCACTTTCTATGGCGTCTGATAGTAGTATATATGACATGATTATACAATATTATACATACATGTATATTATACATACATTTTGTAGACTATGAGTGTAATTATGGATATTGTCTATGATAGTATATATATATAGTATTTATGGTAAGATAAAGAGAGATGATTGGAAATTCTATATATGATGTTATGTTCAATACAGATTGATATGCATATTCAAACGGAATTGATCTCCAACGAACATGTTGCAAACAGATGTGTGTTACAAACAGATGCGGTTCGAGCATCGGTCGACTGGACCCTGAACATCGGTCACGGTGCCTCAGGCGATGGAGAGCAGCGGCCTCACGAGAAGGAACTGGTGAGGTATGGAAGACATCAGGATTTAGTATTTAGATGTCATAAGGTAATGAGTGATCACTGTCAAGAGATGTCAAGGGAATTGGAGAATTGGCTTGAGACTCACCAAGATGCAGCTCAATCGACTCAGGCCCACATGCAGAGGGAAGGTTCAGAGCCAAGGCCTTTGCGGCATAAACAGCATGATTCGACCGGCTTCCTGGTTCATGGACGTCAGTCAAGCTTTTGTCTCCAAGACCTATGTCCTTTCCCAACCAGAATCGTGGCCACAAGGGAAAGAGAGCTGACAGAACTGGGAGGCGCACGAAGTCCATCTTCAGCGCAAGACCTTGACAAACCTCTCAAAGGATGGGTATTGTATCAAGCCGTGAACAGGCAGCGACTCGTTCACGTGTGACATACTGTAGCTTGTATATGAGTCTTTTGCTGGCTTTCATGGAGCCGAGTGGCAGGTTGGAATAGCGTAATTGGTTGGAGATGAACTTAATGAATTAATGCATCAACATAAATTAGATGTGGTCCTAAGAAAGACATGCCACAGGTGATCACAGATGTAGTCCTGTTGCTCAGTCATGCTTGGCCTGAACATGTTGGATTCCACAATGATTGTTTGATTTGCAGGAGACGGAACAGTTCAGGCAGACTGGCCGAAGTTCGCTACTCTATTCTTCGAATGCAGACCTTCGCAAAGAGAACGAAGGCTTGAAGAAGGAGAGGCAATGAATGAAAGACGTGTATAAATTGTACTTTTCAACTCTTTTCAACTGCCCATATTCAGAAGACGCTTATGTCATGAGAAGAAATCACTTTTTTCCGGTGAACGTCGCCATTGATTTGTTGACATCCAGCTTTGCAGTCTCAAACACTGCGACTGAAATTCCCAGGATCTCCAGGCGCTCAGCTCCACTGGCCCCTTGGTCGATCAGTGATTCGAAGCGATTTGTAGATGTTGAAAGACTTTCTTTATCTCAAAAACATACAGGACGTGTTATATAAACATAAATCAAGTAACTATCAAGCAGCCACACAACATAGATGGCAAAAGACATGTTCACGAGAACGAGTCAATTTGATTGCTGGGAGACGTGCTGAGGAGTGCGCGCTGCACCACTCACAGAGGAGAGCTATTGGGCAGATCTGAAGTTAATTCCGGAAACATGTGCAGCAGCAGGGAATGCGGGCAATCTTCAAGTAAGTGAGCATTTGATATCATATTTCCAATGCTGGTTCAATTTTGGATGATTGCTCTCTTGCAATTCCAGAACTTGCTTCGGAAGTACATGCAAGAGATGGCTCTCTTCGGCAGGGACAAGGCCACAGAGACATGTTTCCAAAAGCAAAACCTAAAAAAACAGAACTGCACTTGGTTTTGCTTGGAGGTGATGGAAAAACTTCAGCAACCACATATGGCTGGTGGACAGGAGACAAAGCACGTTCATCGCATTTCGAGCAGTTTGTTTTGTGTTGCAATGGTTCAGCAAATTGAAAATTCCTAAGGATTGTTGATACAAGTGATACACGGGTTGTGCATACAGCTTTGTGATGCATATGATGCATGTTTTCAATAGATGCATTTCTTACATGTTTTAACTACTTATACAGTGTTATACAGTATACATGTCAATGAGGAAAGCTCACCTGTAGGATTCAATTAACAGTTTACTTAAAAAAAATAGTAAACCTTACGCGGGTTGAAAGACCGATGGATGAATGCTGTGAACATCCACGATTTTTGACACAGCTTCGGTGCCCCACCTTTGTAGCAGTCACAACACATGTAGCACTATTTTGAACAAAGGCCTTTTACTAGTCGTCATCATCATCATCATCATCACTGATCTAGGCAATGTCCACTCCTTTGTTGAAAGGGACTGGTTGGTCCAAGCTCTATTAGACCAGGACATGGGTCCGGATGAAGCCCAAACAGCCATTGCTCAGCTGGATATGATCTTCCGTTTGGCAGAGGTGGCCAAGGCAATGCCGGACCTGATGGGACAACTTGGAGCACCCACTCCTCGAGTAAAGGCTAATGAATGCCCTTTGATTACCAGCATGGATACATTCATGCGGTTGATGTGTTGAACCTCACAGACCAGACGGTCAGACGATGTCCAGTTTTTCAGAAGGATCCACAGGAACAAAGATGTCAAAGACATCTACCCTCCCTGAAACAATCATGGAAGTGGAACATGGCCTCTTGGAAGACTGTTTTCCTCTACAAACCGGTGGTTTTCCACTTCCATGATTGTTTCAGGAAGGGTAATTAGTTCTTCTAGTAGAGATCTCCTTATGGAATGCCTCATGTTGAGGTCCCTTGTGTCGATTCAGGCACCTTCCCAGGAGACAGAGCCACCTGTTGTCGAGGCGAGTCCGAAGAGTGGAGAGTTGTTGTGGAGGACACCGAAGCACTTTTCGAGCAGAAAAGATCCACCAGCAACCCGAGCTCAGGGTGTTTTGGAGGATGATAGATCTGATTTATGAATTCATGAGACCCACAGTCTTTGGACCCATGCCTTGGGTGGTTGGTACCCATGTCCTCTACCAAGTCTCAGGTTCTCGTGAAAGTCGGCTCGCAGCGTGCTGGTGAATTTTTCGTTCTCACGCCTCTCGCGACCTCGTCCGTTTTTGCGGCGTCTGAAGGTCGTTGTAACAGGACATCCAATATCAAGCCAATGTACTTTTCTGCCGAAGAGATTGGCAGACCCTCGAAGCCCATCCTGTAAGTAGAACAACCATAATCATGCATAATCCAGTGCTTTCTTTTTTGTCAGGGCAAAGGCAAAGGCAAAGGTCCAGCGCCATGCGCTAAGTTGATCGATTTGCTTGCTTGACTTCGTTGAATGTTGTTCTGCATGAGATGTGAGAAGCACCTTCTATGAGAATTTGTTTGTACCCATAAATTCAGAATCGATAGATTGTCTCGTTGCTTGGCGGCGAACTGGTTCATTTGAACATGAGCAGCAGCCCAAGAGGCAGGGTGGTACGTTAAGAATGCTTCAAGATGCTCCAAGTGTGTACTATAGACTCTTGATTCATAAACCCGCCCAATTTGGATGCACGGACTTGCGGACGATCCACGACGCCCGCCCACGCTCCCCCTTGCTAGGTATTCTAGCGGGTTGAGGTGGGACATTCAAGTGACACGATCTGGAAACCTCTTCACGTGGTTTCGTTTTATTGATCAATATTCCGCAGTATGACCATTTGGAGGAATAGCAGAGGAACAAAGTGGGCGCAAAACCGCAACCAACTGAGGAAGGGAACAAGTGCAGCTCCAGCGGCGGAAGGCGAGAAGAAGCTGTTGGGAATGCTGTTGGGATGTTAAAGAATAGACAGTAGAGCAGAGTTCATGCTGCAAAGGAGACCTCCTGGAATCCTGAGAAGAAAGGGGAGATTCTAGAAGAAGCGACTTTCACAACTTCCAATGGGTGTCGCGAGGCGCCAAGGCAGCAGAAGACACCGATTCTGTGCCTGAAGTCAAGGCAGAGGAGAGAAAGTTTGGTCACACGGGTTCTCAGCACAAGATGCTTCTACGGGGTTCGTGTTCCGCAACCACTGGTTTGGTGCGTTGGCTCACTTGATGGGTCACCAATGAAAGCCTTTTTACCGCTGGCCGCTGGTATTGCTTGGTGTTCTGAGTCATCCTGGGGATGTTGAGAATCTTCAAGTTTGACCACAAATCAGATTGCTATGCATAGGTCAACTCTGTGTTGTGCCAACAGTGTTTCATGCTCTCAACCTCTGGCATCTTCAAGATGCCGTTGTGAAGGCAACTGGCTCTCTCATTCCTCAGCTTGGGCACGATCATGCAAGAACTATGCACAATATAGATGGATATTGAGAGCCAGCGTCTTGGTAAGGCTCAACACATAGGCGTCACAAACCCGTGTGTCCGACAGAGTTTCTGGATAGCGGTGATGTGAGTCTGAGTTGGTGAATACATGGGCGTCTGTTGTTTCAGTCAAGTAGACACTACCATTTACGGCATTGTTCTTCCGCCAAGGGGTCGCCACATCGCCGGCGGTGTCGCCACATTTGCGGCAGGATCCTGCCGCAGAGGCAGCTCCAAAAGCCAAAGGGAAGGCCGACCATTTGAGGTAACCGATTTCGGACCTGGATGCATCCACCATGCTACTAGTACGTGCGTAACAAGAACGCTACTAGGGGCTCCTGGCATCGCTACTAGGAGCAAGGACGCTACTAGGAGCAAAGGGCATTTCTATACTAGGAGCAAGGACGCTACTAGGTTCTCACATGGTCATCACATAGCCATCACATGTTGAGAACACGCGACGGTTTGTTTCCACTTGAGATCCTGCAAGTGGAGCTGTGATTCTTTCTGCCGTTCATTCTCATACCCTGGCTTTCCTCAGTCCTTAGTGCTTAGTATCATGAATTTGTCATGGTTTCGGTTTCTAGGTGTTGGCGAGCAAGACGATAGGTGAAGGGTCAGGGCAACGCGATGAGAGTTGAGATCACATGGACCACATCCAGACTTTGAGGGCGACACATTCACAGAGGAACATGGACCTGTTGTGTACCCATACGTCCAAGATACATGTGACATTTGTGCTGCCTTGTCAGACCAATCTTAGTTGGATTGGCTTGTGTGCTCCCAGGCCAAAGGTCCACCCAAGGGCCCTGGGAAGGGCAAAGCTGCACAGACAGAGGAGGCAAAGGAATCAAAAGAAGTGCCTCATGTTCAATTATGTTTAGCAAAGAAACACCAGGTTGAAGGAATCAGTTGACTGTTTGGCCCTTAGAGCTTGGATTCTCTAGATCCAAGGAAACAAAAGAAGAAGCAAAGGAGGAGCCGAAAGAAGGAGCACCGAAGGGCAAGGGTCCCAAAGGTCCTGCCAAAGGCAAAGGACCCCCAGCCCCAGGTGGCAAAGGACCTCCCGCCCCTGCAGGCAAGGGACCTGCACCTCCGGGTGGTAAAGGACCCGCCCCAGCAGGAAAGGGTGGACCAGCAGCAGGTGGGAAGGCTGGCAAGGCTGGAAAAGGAGCGAAAGGTGGCGCCGGGGGCGGCTCTGGAGAGACCAAGCCAGTTGTGAAACCGAGTCAACCAATGAAGCCTTTGTGGTGGAGCAAGATGATTTTTGGAGCTCAGTTGAAGAAAGGAGAAAGTATTTGGGATGAAGTGAAGGATGATATGGAGAAGTTGCCACTGGAAGAACTCACTGAACGTTTCTCCAAGTCTGCTGCTGCCAGAGAAAAGCCGAAGAAGGAGAAGGCGGAGGGGAAGAAGGAGGAACTGAAGTCACTGCGTATCATTACAGACCCTCAGATCGTGGTTGGCAAGGAGGCATCCCTAAAGAAGCTTCCGGAACCCACTGAAGTCGCCCGTGCATTGGATGAGTTGGACGACACAGTGCTTAATCCCGAGCTACTGCAAGTTGTAAAGGACAATGCTTGTCCCACACCCGCACAGATGAAAGAGCTCGGAGAGGCGCGAACGAAGAATCCCAACGTTCCGCTGGCGCTCCCCGAGAGTTTCATGTGGGTCATCGGCCAGATGCCCGCTTATCAGCAACGGATTGATTGTTGGAGCTTCGCCATGACCTACAAGGAGCAACATGCAACATACCACACAGCATTGTCGGATTTCTTGCAGGTGGTCGAATGCTTTCAAGAGTCTGAGATGCTACCCACCTTGCTGGGCATCATTTTGGCTGTGGGGAATTACTTGAATGGTGGCACCAACCGAGGGCAAGCAGATGGCTTTGATATCGAGTCGTTAGCGAAACTGGAAGGCATCAAGGATGCGACCGGCAAAGACATCAGGCCGGCAGACTACTGGCCGGCAAACAGATCAATGACGGGACAGTGACAAACTCACAAGTAATTAGCTTAACGTCACCATAACTGATTGTCACAAGGACTCCCAGTCTGTGGCTTGTTTGCAGGTGACATTTGCAAACACATGCTGTCGCATTCCTATGAGATTCGTTTGTTGCATTTTCTTGCTCATTTGGATGTTGCTTCTATAAGGGTATACCGGTATACCCCAATCACCCTGGCAAACCGAGAAACAGAATGAAACAGACAATACAGCTCGTGTGGGTTGAGGGCGGCTCGTTTTCTGTGAGCAGTCTTGAAGATGCTTGACCCACACAGGCTGACGATCGTGAGATTTGTATGTCTCGCAATTCTGAGTCTTCAATCTTATTAGGTTGGAGGCCATTGCTAATTAGTAGTTGAAGGCCATTGCTAGTAAAAGTAACTGGGGAATTGAAGGCCATTGCCATTTTAATTCATGTCTGGGGGTTTGAACTTTTTTACATGCAAAACATGAAATTGACAAATCTGTTCAATCCCCCAGACATGGCTCAGATGTTTGATAACTCGATGCTTCCCTGAAGAAGACCTAAAACCCCCGGAGAAAACCACCCGGTCTAGCCGGAACCCTAACCCCACCCACCTACTAGCCTACGTGGGTACTGGAATGAATGGATGCGACCTTGCAGGCACTTCATTTTCGATCTTTTTCTGAACCGTATGACTGAGCAATCGACTCAATTTGTGGAAGAGCTGATGCCTTGCATGGTAAATATGACCCACGGCTGCGGAAATCGAAGGGAGGTATATCGTTTGTTTTGCTTCCTTTTTTTTTGGGGGGGGGTGATTATTTTGCAATCTTGAACATGTCTTTGACGGGTGCCTTTTTTCCATGCTTAAATGATGTTCCCACATTTGGAATCCACCAGAGCAGGCAGGCTGAAGGATTTGATTAATGATAATGTCATCGCTTTGATGTCTAAGAGGGGATCAGGGAATGCTACAGAATTGTGGAATGAAGGATAACTTGAGGGAATGTTGGAAAGACTCCTAAAAGAAATACCTTCAAAGCGAACCGGACCAAGGAATCGTCGGATCAGCAAGGATTCTGATGGAGTGGAGAAGCTTGATAAGAGTGCGAAGATCGCATTCGAAGATTTCGACCTGTGTGTTACTGCTTTGTATCTCGGCTTTTGGCAGGTGTGAAGACTCTATTCAGGACAGGACAGACTGAGAGGAATACTGATCAGTGAATCAGTGCGATGTTTTCCGCTGGATTTGCGCAGAAAATTGACCGACGACTCGACGACTGAGGCATTCTGAATTTGTCCAGAAGCATGAAATGATGCAGACGCTTGTGGAATTATAGGGTTGACTCATGTTCGTACCTAGTAGGCTACTTAGTGCCTTTGCTGTGCATCTTCTACCTGGAAGGGCCTTTTGATAAGTTATGCATAGCACTGAAATGCTTTTTTGTCACACTTTGTTTCGCAGTCAGCCCAGTCCTACCAAGGATGATTCTGTCGTACTTTGAAGATCCTGCAGATCCATTCAAGCTTCAGATGCCAAAGATTTACTTGGAAGCGAAGGATAAGCTGGATGAGCTGAACACCCTGAAGGATACTGCGAAGGAGAAATTGATGCCAAGCCCCACGTCTGGCGTCAGAACTTGGGTTTGACCTTATTCTTTGAGGCGTATAACATCATGTGAGCAACCACTTTTATTTGGTGTTGACCAAAGTAGTCTACGGCATGCTCTATTTGCTTGTCCAACATCAGTATTCCCTGGTGAACGAGATTGGGCCCCCACATAAACCAGATACTTTTACTTGATGCCACTAAGTCTGAACGAGATACTGTGATCTGCTACTAAAGCAGTTTGAACGAGATACTATGACCTCCTACTAAAGTAGTCTATATAAACGAGATAAGGGCCCCCACATAAAAGATAGTGTATAAATACGAGTTTAGCAACGAATCAATGTCGCCGCTCATGTCACATCTTGGATGGACGTTGTCGGGATGTCAAGTTACCGCATGATCACGATGCACAGCTTACGATAGTTTGGTTATGTTTGGTTTCTTTGTCGGTTGATCACTCAAACCACTACGAAAGAGTCGAATAATGCTGATGAACTTGGAGCTATTGAGTGTAGTTGAGGCATCAGATGAGAACAAACCTGGAGAAAGATGAGAGAAGACTCGACCACCCGGTTTTCTGACGGTTTGTGACATTGTTTGACCTGACCAGTGAACCGTATTCATGCCCAGAGCAGGAGAAGTACGCTGCTTGGTTTGCAAGAGCTTGATGTGAGACCAGCATTCCGAATGGAGCAGCTTTGTGCTTTGGCCACTAGGTCATTAGGTATACATCTTGACAACATTAACTTCTTTAGCTGAAGTGCTCGGCTTTAGCTCAGTGACCACGTCCGATTCCATGCTTTGCATTGGCATTAGTGAACATGAAGCATTTACAAACATTTACATGCATTTACCACGTGTGTGTATACCGAGCTTGAGACCATTGTGTGTGTTTTTAATGAGAATCAGTGGATGCGTATTGAGAGATTCCTGCATGATCATCAGGAGATTATCTCATTAGATGTTGATCCAAGGCGCAAGTGTTGAAGTGGTTCAAGGTGCAAGCAATGAAGAGCAACGAGTTCCTCGGAACTCGTCTTGGCTGGTCGATGTGCCATTCCAGCTTTTGGTATGCCATACTTTTTTTTCAGAGATGCTTGATGCTGGTGGTTGCCATTTGTGACCTTGTTGCTATATACTGTCTTGCAATTTTTGTGTTCAGTTCTATTTTGCGACTATGGACAGTTTCGCAGGTGAATAATCCTTTTGATTTGGAACTTCTTTAAGCTCCCACAGTGTGAATTATGCCAACACTTTTACTCCTTTAGATCAGGTTCTGCTTGCTTTGGGACAACCTGCTCATCCCTGCTAACATGATCATCAATGCTGACATGAAGATGAAGAAGGAGAGCTGTCCTTCGATTGTGTTTGAGGGTTTTAATATGTGCTTCGACGTGCCATTCTACTTTCTGACCATTCAGGGTCCGCCACGACCAGTCACTAGTGATTCGCCAAGCAATTCAGGAGTTCATGCTCCCTACCTTTTGCCAGAACAAGCCCTTCTCAGCTGCCACGCTGGCAAGATTGCATCGTTGATGTTTTGAGGTGTATTAGAGGTTACCACACTCGTTTAGTGGGAGGAATCTCCGCACGTCCAGAGCTTCCTCATGCACCAAAGCTAATAGAGAATCTCTCACATTATTCCTCTCTTGCTAATCAAACATATCCACTCAATGTGCGCTTGGAGCTGCCTCTAGGGACCGTCTGTGTCGCTCCTTATGTTTCGATGTCTTTTGCTGACGGTCAGAAACTCTACCAACGGGTCAAAAATGCATTCGCAATAAGCAAGATCTTACAACGCTTTCGTATTCTTCGTGAATTCTTGAAGCGATGAATTTGTAATTCACCTGTGTGTGTGACTGTGTTTTAGTCCGGTCACTCTTTTGGTGGTGCGCACGTTTTGTTACGTAGCATTCCTTGTTACATACCTGACCTCGGGTACCCCACCTAAGTGGAAGGACCTTGAGGTGCGATGACGGATCGATCGCGAGTTGGTTTGGGGTGTCTTAGAGGTTTTTCTTTATGCTCGAGAACTCCTGGTGCAGTCTAGTCACTCACTGGCAGGAGTCCCGCCAAATCATGTAGAGGCTGGATCGTAGCCATCGAAAATCATCAGGAAAAACTGACTGGTTAAGCCCTTTTTTGAGATTTGACACATGACCCAGGTCCGCTACATGTACAACAAAGCTCACAAAGGATATATCGGCCACAGGCCACAGAACGCTGTAGTTCTGCCTACTGAGTACAATAGGTGGACTCCTTGGACAGGTGAACCTTTCCATTGGCCCAGGCGGCCATCCATGTGGTTGGCCGCCTGGGCCCGACCTCCGAGAAACATAGGATAACATGGCACGCGCCAATGGCATAACTAAACATTGAACATTTGTCGTTATGGACTCAGAGGTTTAATAACGTTTCTTTACAAAGACTATATAATATCAACAATGGCCATATCCTTAGGTCCTATGGTCTTTATCAAATCTTTATGCACGCAACCGGATTTCGCGGGTTGTTTTCGTTTGCGGCTGGACTGCTCCCTGGTACTGGTTTTGCCAGGAAGATTTACAGATCCTTTGGTCATTCAAAGAGTTTGATGGCAAGCGCACCGTCAAGAAGAAGACCAAGGAGCGACGCCGTCAGAGAGCCAAGAAGAGGGAACCGACATGAACCGACCCGCAAGACATGCTCAGGTTGCGCTTGCAGACATCGGCACGTGCCGAACTAGAGCAACTAAGCGTTGTTTTGTGCAACATGCGCTCTTCACAACCGAGGTCGGAGGTTTTCACAACGACTCCGCGATGGGGCAGAAGCGGCTGCTGTAGGGAGCTTGGGCGCTTCATTTGACTGGTGTTTTGCTATTGTTTTAATATTTTTGGGAAGCTTGGCGATCCGGTTTCATCTCCTTTGATGTCTCTTGCAGCATTTGTTCGCCCCACTCCTCGGCCTTGCCAGGCGGCAGAGGCCAAGGCAGCTGGAGCTGCAGCCCCTGCGGAAGGAGCACCAGCAGTTGCACCAGGCGTGACACCTGCAGGATCGTTTTCCGCTTGACTTTGCCGGAAACCATGTGGAGGGCACAACTATAGGTGTCAAGAAAGCAATGAAGGATGTTTGACATGTGGGATTTACGTGCTAGCTTGTTTTAGATTCCTTATAGTTTGTGGTTGGATGGAGCTCTTTGTAGGCTACAAACTCAAAGGTGGATATGTGAGCAGTCCTGTCACCACATTTGATTT